CAGTAGCCATAAAAAGTTACCCTTCAGAAGATGGCGTATGTAATTGTACTCTTAGACGTTTGGATTCTATGGCCTTCCTCAATAACTTCCATCCCTCTTTTTCCGCAAGTTTTTCATCATTATTCTCCTCCTCACTAGACTCTGATTCCGGACAGAATCCTCCGTATTTTCAAATGGAAGACGTTTCAAGACATACGAATGCAATTATTTTGCTTTTACTAATGGTGAAGGACCAGCCTTTCTGAAAGAAAGATTTTAATTTGTATCATTAAGAAAAGTGGCAGTGATTGCCTAGGGCAAGGCAACAGTATGAAATGTACTTACATCTCTACGGCGATAATTAGATAAGTTCTTTAATAGTCAATATAATGAAGTTTATAAATACTCGACAAATGAATAAAGGGAGTAAGTTTCTAAAGAAACTGTGGTGCTGCGTCGGTGGGGGTAGCAAGGTAATTTGGTAGTGTCAGCTAGGTTGAAATTGTAAATTGGCCACCGTAGAGAGTTCAAAGGGTGACGTTCCGAGCGTTAGCCGTTCGCCTTTCGATCTGACTAGCTTGAGTCAAGGAGAAATCCAGAAAATAGTTAACCGTCGAACGCCGCAGAATAATAAACGCCTACCTTAGGCGTTCAACAAAAGCAGTAGAAATAAATCAACTATCCTTATTTTACGTTCAGTTTTTAGAATATTTAGGGCGATCGGGTCTTTTGTCAGCTGTCAGTAAAAGCCCACCACAAATGTCAATTTTCAGTTATATCCTCAGCGATTTGTCAGTTGTCAGTTAAAATTTTGGCCATTTGTAGGTTATCAATTAACCTTGTCCAGACCATCTGCTTAGTGATATATATTTATATATATATATGAAGGATGGGTCGTTTGGGGTGACCGTCTCGGTTCTCCTCCATCCTAGCATCAGCACTGCACTGATGAGGCCCAGAAGGCCGAAACAGTTCTGTCTGCAGTTAGATATAGCTCTTTGACATACAAAGCTTTGCTTTCATGTCCAAATTTAGCACTCTATCTAGGATGAGTCATTGCTGCTGCAATTGCGCATGCTCACTAGTTTACTCTAGTTTGAGCACTCTGGCATGGCTTAGACGATACCACAAAGGTTGGGTCGTTTGGGGTGACCGTTTCGGTTCTCCTCCATCATAGCATCAGCACTGCACTGAAGAGGCGAAAAGCATGCTCACCTCTTAAGATCGTCTCCCGAGTTATCGGAAATTTTTCCATCAAAATCGATTTTTCCAGCATATTGCCGTACCAAAAACCTCCAAGACAGTTTGGCGCCTTCTGGATTTTGTGTGGATAGGAAAGTTAGTCAGGCAGAGAAGGAAATATGATAATATGGCGGTCTTGTGGGCTGATGGATGTGAACTGGGATGCATAGTTAAGTACTTTCTGTAGGAGTTGTTCAGAGATGGATGAATAAAACTCACATACATGCGAAAAAATCACTGCTGTACCACCAGGACACACCATGGGCAAAGAAGAGCACCACCGGCATGTTCGACGTGACGATGGGCTCGTATGATGGAGCCGAGACATGCGAACTAATCGGAGCCTATATGTTATCTCTGATTGCGGCAAAGTTTAAAGATCGAGTGGGCCTTTACCGTGACGACGGGCTAGCAGTATGCAGAGCTACACCTAAAGAAATTGAAAAAACAAAACAAGAAGTTAGCAAAATTTTTTAAGTCTAATGGCCTGAAGATCACCATCGAAGCTAATAAGAAAGCAATCAATTTTTTAGATGTAACCTTCGACCTCGCAAATGAATCTTACAACCCATTCTTGAAACCTAACAACAAACTCCGCTATGTTCACAGTCAAAGTAACCACCCACCTGCACTGCTATAGAACATCCCGGAAAATATAAACAAGCGATTAACCAGCATATCATCAAGCAAAGAAGTTTTCGATAACGCCAGCCCTCCTTACCAAAAAGCCATCTACGAAAGTGGCTACGACTATAAGCTTAGATATGATCCACAGCCACCCCAAAAGCGCAACAAAAATCGCAAAAGAAAAGTGAAATGGAATAATCCACCATGGAACTCCAACGTGAAGACCAACCTGGGAAGAAAGCTCTTAAATATCGTTGACAGATGCTTCTCGAAAAAACCATCCATTACACAAGATCTTCAATCGCCACACACTAAGGATAAGCTACTCCTGCATGCCTAACGTCAAAACAATCATCGCGTCACACAACTAAAAGCTACTATCAGATTACTTACAACCAGTCAAAAAATTCACCACAAACACTAGACAAAGAATGTAACTGCCGGAAAAAAGACCAATGCCCCATATAGGGAAAATGTCTCACATCAAACGTAGTCTACCAAGGAACAGTCACAACTGCAATGTCAACAGATTCATACGTGGGACTCGCGACAAACTTTAAAGAACGGTACAGAAACCACACAGCTTCCTTCCGACACCAAAACAAGAGACACGAGACTGAATTATCTAACCACATATGGACACTGAAGGACAATAATAAACCTTTTAACCTAACGTGGAAAATCATGAAACAATGCAAACCGTACAACAACATTACTAAGAAATGGAATTTATGTCTTTTTGAAAAACTCACGATCATATGTAAAAAGGAACTTTGCATTCCTAACAAGCGAAATGAGCTAGCAAGTTCATGCCCCCATAGAAACAGATACCTCCTTAAAAACTTCATGATAAAGTAACAATCTCCGAGATTATACACACCAGTCACATGACTTATATGGAAAAGTAGCGTTGTTTTTATCTCTTAGCAACCGCATTCCAGCTTTTATAGCCAGTCATTGTAAGTAAATGGTCAATCGTTGAAATTACCTGATGAGTGTGGTCATTTTCGACCATACGAAACAGAGCTGTAGTAATAAAACGATGAACTATCTCTGAAGTCTTGAACGAGTTTGTTATAATTATCAATGCTCCTCAAGAGTTGAGCGCTCTTTGAAATACATTGAAATCAAGTTCAAGAATATATATATATATATATTTGCTGTTAAAGAACGTAACGTTACGATAGCGCGTGCAGTATGTTGCGCGCGCATGTACACATTGTTTTGTCTTTTAAATTTTGGTGGATTGTAACCGTTATTTCTGGCAGTTGCCTGACGATTGCTTCGCAAGAGGCATGAAACTCAGAGTTGCAGTAAAAGTTCAAGTAACCTAAATCTTGAGGTATAATTATCCATCTCATTAAGCACTTT